ATCTATTTACATACTAAAAACCTTGAGTTTAAACCAATGCTCCCAACTCCAACACTTTAGGATTCATTCTAGTTTTCTCTGTTTGCATATTATTACCTATCCAAGAGAAATCTGACTTTCTTTATTTTTAATATACCTTATCCTGCTTGGACTCTGTCACTGCTTGCTAGCTCATGCAGATGTCCTCCTCAGCCCCAGTGCTCTGACCTCCTATGCTGGGTCCCTGCCACAGCCCCTCCCCTCTCCGAGCAGTCATCTTCCTTATCCTGCATGGAATCTGACTCCTATGCCAGCCTTGCTGTCACGGCTCCCCATCCACACATGGATGCCTATTAGGAAATGACGGATTTTTCATAATAAAATTGGTAAAGAATATTGTCTTGGAGTAATTTTAATTTGTATTTCTCAAGTGAAGCTGAATATTTTAATAATTTAAAAGTCATTGATATCTCCTTTTCTGTGAACTGATCATATCTTTTGTTCAATTTTTGTATTGGTTTATTGGTCATTATTATATTGATTTATCTGTACCTTCTACCTTTTTTAGAGTGAACATGCATATTATTTTTTTGTAACAAGAAGATACAACAAAAAGTTATTTTTAATAAGAAAAATTATTGTAGTGAAATCAGGGGCAAGATGGCAGATTAGGCTGACACTCAGCAGACCCTCTGTAACAAAGACATGGAAGACCAAGTGAAGTAGATACAGAAGTCAATCCTGGAATGCTGAGATTCAGAAGATAGGACAGAGAGGTGGTTTGAGAGCTGGAAGACTAAGTTGAACAGGAGCAGTGAGAGAGAAGAAAAGCAGGCAGGCTGTCAGTTGGCATGGAGTAGAACAGCTATCTTGAGCTCTTGCAAGCGGCTGCTGATACAGAGGCCTGCAGTTACAAGATGCAGCTGTGGGTTGGAGGCAAGAGGATGTAGTGCTCCTTTATTTCCGTGTCCTCCTGGTAGCTGGGGGTGTAGCCAGTCCTGCCATCACCAACCCAGGGGCCAGGGGACACCCTGTTGTGCAGCCTTGGCACTGCCTGGGCTTGGGTGCTGGAAGTGCCACCACTGCTTCTGGAGGTATATGAACCCACCCAGAACTATATTACACAAACAGTGAACAAAGAACTGCGTTCCTATTTCTAGGCTGTATCACACCCACCTGCAGACATGCACCTGGTGTGGCTCTGTGGGCTAATGCACTAGACTGCAAAGTTGGTTTGAACCACAAGGTCAGTGGTTTAAGCTCACTAGCTGGTCCTTGGAAACCCTACAAAGGGTTACTGTGGGTTGGAACCAACTTTATGGCATTTAACAATAACAACAAATCACATCTACCAGGAGACAGGTGGTGAATGCCTGAGAACACACTAACATACAATCATCAAATGAATATAAATAAAATGATACTATGCAAGGTCAGTAGTTCGAAACTAGCAGCGGTTCCGTGGGAGAAAGATGAGGCTTTCTGCTCCCGTAAAGATTTACAGCCTCGGAAACCCTGTTCAGGGTCGCTATGGGTCGGAACCGACTCGACGGCACTTAACAACAACAATAACACAATGTCTTAAGAGAAAACAGGCAATTTCAACCTACAAGAAGAAACAAAGTACCTTAAACAAGTGACTAAAATACAGCTAAAAAACACAATGCCAGAAATGGTATCAGAACTACTTGATAAGGAATTTAAAAGAATACTATTTATGTACCTTCAACAGATTGAGAAGATTGACAAAACCAAGGAGAACACACACACACACACAAACTTTAGATGAATTTAGGAAAGCACTACAAGAACAATTTGACAAAAGAAATGAAAAAGTGAAAACCATATACAAATAGCAATTAGAAAGTCAGAAGACTTCAGAAATAACTGAATCAATGGAAGGCTGAATTAGTGAGTTTAAAGACAAATCTCTCAAAACTCATCTTTGAGAGAAACAACCAGGAAAAAGAATGAAAAAATCCAAAGAAATCCTACTATTACTGTGGTGGTGGTGGTTATGTGCTGTGGAGTTGGTTTCGACTCATAGCGACCCTGTACAGGGTTTCCAAGGCTGTACATCTTTATGGGAGCAGGAAGCCTCACCTTTCTCCCATGGAACAGCTGGTAGTTTCGAACTGCTGACCCTGTGGTTCGCAACCCAATTCGTAACCACTACGCTACCAGATTTCCTTACTATTTCTGTAGGACACCATTAAGAGGAATAACTTATGTGTGACTGGAATTTGAGAACAGTAAGAGATAAAAAAAAATTGAGAAATTGTCTAAGAATTGTTGGATGAAAACTTTCCTAACATCATGAAAGATGAGAATATAGCCATTCAAGTAGTTGAATGAACTTCAAACAGGATAAACCTCAAAAGAAAATCACCAAGACATATTATAATCAAACTTTTCAAAACCAAAGGACAAGAAAAGACTCCTGAGAGCAGCTCAGAGAAAACTAAAAGTTACTTACAAAGGAGAACGTTAAGACTGAATTCTGAATTCTCAGCAGAAACTATGCAAGCAAGACATAGGATGACATATATAAAACTCTGAAAGAAAAAAATTGCCAACCAAGAATTATATATCCAGAAAAATTGTCCATCAAATATGACAGTGAAACAAAGACATTTCCAGATAAACAGAAATTTTTAAAAACTGCAAAAACCAGAACAACCTTCTGAAAAAATAGTAAAGGAAGTTCTTTGGACAGAGCACCAATAACAGCAGACAAAAACCTGAGGCTAACATATATGATAATATCACCCAGAACTCAATCCAGATATAGAATTCAAAGTAAAACAAATACACAAGACTGATAATAGGGAACTCGAGGTACTAGTTTGCAATAACAACACTCAAAAAAATCCATAAAGTAAACAGAGGGAATAATGCAGTTTCAGAACTTTCAAAAGAATTGGAAATCACGAAGATTTCAAGTAAAAAATAAAGTTAACTGTAACCCTAAAACTAGACCAGCCTTACTCTTAGCCATAACACAATCCCTACTCCTACACTAAAGAGCTCTGGTAGCATAGTGGTTATGAGTCAGGCTGCTAACCTCAAGTTCTGCAGTTCGAAACTGCCAGCCATTCCACAGGAGAAAGATGAGGCTTTCTGCTCCTGTAGAGATTTACAACCTAGGAAGCCCTATACACAGTCACTATGAGTCAGAACCAACTCCACGGCACACCACCACCCCTACACTAAACCTAGTCCTAACCATAACCCTAACACTAAATGAAGTCCTAGGCCTTGCCTAGATCTATCCACGGTCCAAACTCTAAATCTTTACTTGTATGTACCCTTGTGTGGATCAAGACAAACTACAGACAACATTGCGAAGTATGAGTAATCTGGAACATTTAATTGTGCTCATGAGGAATCTGGACATGGACCAAGAGGCAGTTGTTCGAACAGAACATGGGAACACTGAATGGTTTAAAATTAAGAAAGGTATATGACAAGGTTGTATTCTTTAACCAAACTATTCAACCTGTATGCTGAGCAAATGATCCAAGAAGCTGGGTTATATGAAGAAAAACGTGGCATCAGGATTGGAGGAAGACTCATTAACAACGTGTGATATGCAGATGATATAACCTTGCTGCTAAAAGCGAAAAGGACTTAAAACATTTACTGATGAAGATCAAAGAGCACAGCCTTTGGTATGGATTACATCTCAATGTAAAGGAAACAAAAATCCTCACCACTGGACCAATAAACAACATTCTTATCAATGGAGAAAAGATTGAAGTTGTCAAGGACTTCGTTCTTCTTGGATCAACTATCAACACTCACAGAAGCAGCAGTCAAGAAATCAAACGACATATTGCATTAGGCAAATCTGCTGCACAAGACCTTTTTAAAATGTTGAAGAGCAAAGATGTCAGCTTGAGGACTAAGGTACGCCTGACCCAAGCCATGGTATTTTCAACAACCTCATATGCATGCAAAAGCTAGACAGAAAAGAAGGAAAACCGCAGAAGAATTGATGCATTTGAGTTATGGTGTTGGAGGAGAATATTGAAAGTGCCACGGGCTGCCAAAAGAACCAACAGATCCGTTTTGGAAGAAGTGCAGCCAGAGTGCTCCTTGGAGGCCAAGACGGCCAAACTTCGTCTCTCATACTTTGGACATATTGTCAGGAGGGACCAGTCTCTGGAGAAGGATATCATGTTTGGTATGGTGGACGGTCAGAGAAAAAGAGGAAGACGTCAACGAGATGGATTGGTAAAGTGGCAGCATCAATGGGCTCAAGTGAGGTTGGCCCAGGATCGTGCAGTGTTTCATTCTGCTGTGCATAGGGTTGCTGTGAATCGGTACCAACTCGATGGCACCTAACAACAAAACAACAACAACCCTTCCATCCTAACCCCCTCAAAATCTATGTAGTTTCCTGGTACTTGAAAAATACTCAGAGCCCATGGTAGGTAGTATCTTATTGTAGCTCCTCAAGCAAGGCCTTATTTTCACTTCTCTTTGTGGTGAAACCTGCATAGCTGACAGGTAGTACATGAGCTTAAAGGCCTGAGAGACGTTTTGGATTGCTTGTCTATCCATTAGCAGTCCTGGAAAAATCACAAACTCTCTTATCTGTAAAGAAGTTTATAGCTCTACCTTAGTCATCATTTCACCAACTCTTCCAATGGCCCTAGGAGGCTGATAAGTCATTGACAATGATTCTCATTTTACAGATTTTGAACCTGAGGTCTGGAAAGGTGAAGTGTCTTTATTATCTGGAAGGTTAGATCTACAAGTTACCTTAAAGATAATTTCAGTCTATGTACTCAGGGTCCTACAATGAGTGAGTAAGGCAAAGTTTTGATTTGGGCCCAAATCTTCTTACTTCTAGGTGCTCCTTCTAATAGTACCATTCAAAATGAGAATCCCTATTACTCCAAGTAGTCAAGGGAGGCTGAGGAGCTTCTCCAGGAGACTACAGGCTAAGCCTTTAACAGACTAGGGCTGGATAGGCACAGTGGGAGTGCTGGAGCCTTAGGTCTCTCCATGCTCACCTTTTGCAGCAGTCAGCATGGTGGAGGCCAGTTCACACTGCTGTGATTCCAAGTGTCCAAGTGTGAACCAACGAGGATAACGACTGGGTACCACAGATACCATATGGTGAGGGTGGGAAGTGTCACCTGCAGAGGCTGCGTTTTCTAGAACCGGTAACCTAGAAGACCCAAGGAGAGTCATCAGCCACTAACTGGACCTTTGCCATTCTGAGCCATCTTAGAGAATCCTATTCTTTGCTGGGAAGAAGCTGGGCTGGAAAGGGTCAATCAAGAGTTTTAAAGGTTTCAATACCTAGGGTACTCTATGTGAGCTGAGTGCCTGGGTACTTGCAGAACTCAAGTGGGATAGTCCCACTGCAAAATGGATTAGAAAAGCAGTTGATGAGCCATAACGTTATATTTTAAACTGTAAGAAATAAATGCTGAGTCCTCAGCAGTCTTTTCTGTGTGAACTGAGAGATTCTTTCCTCCTATGATCTAACAGAAATCCTTCTGCATGCTCTGCTGTATTCCAGAGGCTCACTTGTCTTTCTGAACCCAGGATTCAATTCTACTTTGTAAATAACACTACCATAGCTCATTGCTCTCAATCTTGGGCATAACCAGACCTATCAGTACATTCCCTAGATGCCTCTGGGGACCTGTGCTTGGGAACCATGATTCAGTTGAGCTCTGGAAGAGTGTAAACGCTTCTCAGGCTAAGTGGTCCCAAAATAAAATACTCAGGTCTTGGGGGCTACATATCTATTAATAAATACCTCAGGGACTTCACCTGATAACTCATCAAGAGTACAGCCAGGGAACCGAGCGGGTCACTAGCAAGGCATTCTACTTAAGAATCCTAGATCATATGAAAAAGTCAGTTACTTTATGGCAGGCTTGATGGCAAGTCTTAAATATATACAGACAGGGAGAGATAGAAAATAAGATAAACAAAAAGATCATTGGAAACTTCTGCTTCCTGGAGACAATGGACTGGAAAAGGGCCACTTACCTCATGGCACGTAAGGCTAATTTATAGGACAAGTCTGGATCATGAGGCAGCAGAGCTGAGAACAAATATTTGGCAAAGGTATGCATGGGAACACTTTCTCGATGGATTACTTCTCCCAGACCGCTGAAGGGACCTCCTGCAGCAAAAAGATAAGCCAGTCAATTGTATTTCTGTAGGAGTCCTGGTGTGGCACTGTGGGTTAATGCACTAGACAGCAAGGCCAGTTTGGAGCACAAGGTCAGCAGCTCTAGCTCCTCAGCTGCTCCTCAGAAACCTTATACAGGGTCGCTGTGAGTCGGAACAGACTCAACGAAACTTAACAACAACAATGTTACTTTTCACCAGCCTAGACTTGAGCCCCAGGATCCCATCTGCTAGCCATGGAAATTTTTACTACAGTTCAATGCCATAAATGTTACAAATCAGACTGTTAACCTCAAGGTTGGCAGTTTGAAACTACCAGCTGCTCCGCGGGAGAAAGATGAGCCGTTCTGCTCCATAAAGATTTGCAGCCTCGGAAACCCTGTACAGGGTCGCTATGAGTCGGAACCGACTCCACAGCACACAGCCACCACCACCACCAGGGTCATAGGCGAAAACCACTATAATAACAGTTTCTTTCCACTTACCTTCCAGCAGTAAGATGCACTGTTTTCGCAGTGTTTGCACTAGTTCGTCGTCCAGCTGCAGCTCCTGGAGTTGACTCAGGAGTTGTTCCTCATTACGGCACACCTTGTCCTGTGCATAGAGGCCTTCAGGCATCACCCTCTGTTGACCCATTCCCATCAGGGCAACTTCAAGGGCCAACGACAGGTAGGACTCACTGCTGTTTGGGCAGCCTGCAGCCACAGGTACGTGCTGGTATACAGGGGTTCTGCTTTCACTCATATCTGAGGGCAACAGGGTACCAGGTTGCTTAGGTCAGGCCCACTGGATTCTTCTGTTCCTCTCACCCTCTCCCTTTGGGATATAGCTTGGTTTACAGCTATCACAGGGAAGCTGAGCCAGAAACCCAGACCAGCAAGGAAAGTATGCTGAAAAAAAGGTTACATAGAGCTACAAAGATTATTAGCTCTTTGCTAATATAGGAACTGGCCAGGCCAGCTGGCAAAGCAGAAAACTTCATCTTTTGTTAGCATATTATATAATGCCATTATTGACTGTTTTTGTATCTGTCTCTTTTACTAGAGTGTAAGTACCTTAAAGGGAAGGGACTTTATCAGTCATTTAAGGCCAGGTATATGGAAGGAAGCAGGAGAAAGATGAGGCTTTCTGCTCCCGTAAAGATTTACAGCCTCAGAAATCCAATACAGGGTCGCTATGAGTTGGACCTGATTGCACAGCACACTACCACTGCGTCCATAATGAAGGAGCTGAGTGTATGTTAATGGTGAATGAATGAATCCCAAATGCAAACTCAGGATATAAACCTCACTCTGTAAATGAAACAGACCAAAGATGTTGATTCCTTCTGCAGGGGATTAAAGGGAAGAAGAACTACCTTTGGCTTGGGGCTACTCCTTGTATCTCCAACCAGATAAATCCAAACCTTTCCATTAAAACTCTTAATTTTGTAACACTTACAACTTTGATACTATTATTTGATATGCTTTACAACGGATTTACAGTTTCAGTAAAAGAGCACAGGTTTAAAAGTTAGAGTCTTTACGTTTTCCCTTCAACCATCCAATAAATATTTATAGAGAACTAAGAGTCCCTAAAGAGTCATGGTGGTGCAATGGTTAAGTGCTTGGCTGCTAATGAAAAGACTAGTGGTTTTAATTCACCAGCAGCTCCATAGGAGAAAGATGTGGCAGTCTGCTTCTATAAAGATTTACAGCATTGGAAACCCCATGTGGTAGTTCTACTCTGTCCTATGTTGTGCCATTGAGTCGGTTCTGACTCACAGTGACCCATGTACAGCAGAATGAAGCACTGTCCAGTCCTGTGCCAGCCTCACAAATTGGCATTGACTTGATGGCAATGGGTTTGGATTTTTTTTTTAGGAGTCCTTTGTTGACACAAACAGGTAAGCACTTGGCTACTAAAAGATTGGAGGTTTGGAGTGACCCAAAGGCACCTCAGAAGCCAGGATTGGGGGTGATCTGTTTCCAGAATGGTTGCAGTCTTGAAAAGTCTATGGAACAGTCCTATTTTGCACACATGGGTCACCACGAGTCAGAATCCACCTGATGGTAACTCAAAACGGCATCAAAACATTGAATGGAAGGTATTGCACTGAGCTGAAGGATCACAACAATGAGTAGTAAGTCATAACTTTTTTCAAATAGTTAGAGATATTTGTGAACAACTTGTAATGCAATGTGCTATCATAGATGTGTGTATACAATATCATGATGGCATAAAGGAGTGAAGAATCAATTCTGTCTCTAGTCCTGCTACTTTGAGAGTCTACTAAATTTAGAGACAGTTTAATCCTTAAAATTTAATTAAATGAGAAAATTTAACTTTACGAGTCACTGGGTGGCATAAATGGTTTGTACTCAACTACTAACCTAAAGGTTGATGGTTCAAACCAACCCAGAGGAGCTCAGAAGAAAGGTCTGGTGATCTGCTTTGTAATGATTACAGCCAAGACAACCCCATTGCATTGTGTAATGCATGGGACTACCATGTGTCTGAATCTACAAGACAGCAACAGATTTTTTTCTTTTTTGAAAATTTCTCGTTTGCAAAATTGGTACGAAGTCCTCATGAGGGGGAAAATTCAATGGAAACCAGATAGTACTATGCAATTGCAAGGGATACATACATAAAATCTTGATGAAATTCTCTCCTTCCAGACTCCTCTGAGGACCTGGCATCTGACTCCAAAAATTATTCTAGTCCTTCCTTGGACTAACCTTCTTTAGAATTATGGTAGAAATAAGAAAGAGGCAAAGGAACATTGGTAATGTAAAAAGGGAAATTTGGACAGGGCCAGAATGGTGGGAAAGAGAGGAAGCCTAAGGAAACCTCTCAGGGTAGGGTCAGTTTGGATAAGAGGAAGAGAAGACTGCAAGAGGGACAGAACATAGTTTGGCAGGAAGGAGAAGCCTGCCCCAGGCAGATCTCTGTACCTGACACTTCCAGATAGCCATCATCATTCAGGCGGCAGGCCTCAGTCAAAGTGAGAAAAAGACAACCAATGGGGTCCAGAGGGTGGCCCACCCAACCCTCCAGGTTTGTGATGGTTGTGGTTCCTCTCTGCAACAGTTCTGGAAGAAAATAGGTTAGCGTTTTAGAGAGTGGAAGAAATACATTGCTCTGTGTCCTTGCTCTATGTCTCTTCTTTGGTTTATTTCAAGCCATGGCCCCAAGAGTTAAAAGAAAAGCTACCTTCATTGTTTTACCTTGAGTTGATAGAACTGGTAACAAGCTTATCAGTTAGCTGGAAGGCCATGTGATTTGCATTTAGGCTGCCAGCTGGCAGTGCATACAGGTAGATACAGCTTTATAGTTCTACAAGGTTTTCTTACACCAGATCTATTGTGAGTCTTACAACTGCCCTGTGAAGGAGGCATGCATGCATGCATAATTATTTCAATTACATAGAAGAGTGAAATGAGATTCAGAAAGTTAAAGTGAGATAGTCTAGGTAACACAGCAGGTGGAATGTCCTGCAATCCTTTAACCCTTGCCATACCCACTCCAAGAATTTAATGGAAATTAAGTTTAGTACTAGGCCTCATATCACCCTAGGCTCCTCATCAGTCTCAGGCTTTAGATGACTCCTAATCATTATACCTTTCTTTTGATGCTTGTAGATTTCAAGTTGCCTCTGTTGCTGCAACCTCAGAGTATTGATAATGGCCACTGTGAGTCTGAGGGCTTCTTTTGGATAACCATGAGACCGCAGGGCATCAACCCGAGCACACGCTGTAGGTACATGCTCTACCGGATAAGAAGAAAGTATTTGGGTTGAGTTAAAATTTCAAACCAGGAAAATTCATGCGTGATAAAGGGAGTTTCTGTTTAGTTCAGTTCCTCAAATTCAACCTGATATTTATTTTATACCAAGAACTGTTGTTTTATTTATTGAAGATATAATGTTGAATAAAACACGAGTGCAACCTTCAAATAACTACCTTGCAGCCTCAGGTGAGCACACAACTAGGATATAAAATGTCATATCTCTTTGTGAAAGTAACCCTGGTAGCATAGTGGTCAGGCTGCTAATCTTAAGGTCCGGAGTCTGAAACTATCAGTGATTCTGCAGGAGAAAGTTGACGCTTTCTGCTCCCGTAAAGATTTACAGTCTTGGAAACCCTATTCAGGGTCAATATGCATGGGAACAAACAACTCCATGGCACACCACCACCACCACCACCACCTCTTTGTGAAGATTTACTAAGGGAACTTGGAGAAGGTAGCAAATAATTGCCTAAAGGGAAAAGTCTTCATTTATTAATCTTACTTTTTTTTTCAAGTTTTTATTGTGAATTGGGTGATAGTTTACATGGGAGAACATCAGCTTTACATTCATCCTATCATATTTTGTTTCATTGCAATGATTACAATCCCCTCTATGCATCATCATTCAACAGTATTTGCTTCCATTCCCTCTGTTGTTTTTTTTTTTTGGATGTACACCAAAGCATTCAGGAACATACAACCATTTAAACAACCAAAGGGTATATCCTGCATGTCTGCCCCATGGCCAGCACACAGCCCCTCTCCCTCCCTGAGTCGAGGGTCCCCAGAAGCTCTATCTCTCCAAATCATTGTCTCTGACTCCATCTCTGGTGTCACTGTTTCTCTGGTTAGTGTCCCACACTCCACTCTTATCCCTTGATGGTCCTAGGGTCCTCCACTCCTAGACTGCAAGATCAACCACTCCCCTCCTTGCTACAAAACGTCTACCTTTACATTTGCAACACTCACAATCAGTCCTGATAGCAATTATTCACTATTGAACCACAAGAGTCTTATCCCCATCTCCTTTCATCAGCCCTGTCCAGATAGGTTTAATCTTCTATTTCTTGAAAATTTACTATATGCCAGATAGTATGCTCAGCAAAGGGAATACAAAAATGAATAAGAAATACTGATCTCTAACAACTCACAGGAGTCCTGGTGTGGTGCTGTTGGCTAATGCATCAGACTGTGTAGTCGTTTGAACTGCAAGACTGGTGGTTCTAGCTCACCGGCTGCTCCTTGGGAACCCTATGTAGGATCGCTATGGGTCGGAATCGACTCTAGGGCTCTTAACAACTCACAAATAAAACATATGTATATATATGTATATAGTTATTGTTGTTAAGTGCTGTTGAGTCAATTCTGACTCATAGTGACTCTGTGTAGGATTTCCAAGGAGCGGCTGGTGAGCTTAAACTGCTGACCTTGCAGCTCAAACTCATAGAGCCACACTGAAGAAGAATTGATTCATTTGAGTTGTGGTGTTAGCGGAGACTATTGAGAGTACCATGGACTGCCAAAAGAACAAACAGATCTGTGTTGGAAGAAGAACAGCCAGAAGTACAGCCTGGTTCCTTGGAAGCCAGAATGGCCAGACATTGTCTCTCATACTTCAGACATATTACCAGGAGGGATCAGTTCCTGGAGAAGAATATCATGTTTGGTAAAGTGGAAGGTCGAAGGAAAAGAGGAAGACATAGTGGATTGGCATAGTGGCAGCTATGATGGACTCAGGCAAAGTAACAATTGTGAGTTTGGCCCAGGACTGGGCAGTGCTTTGTTCTGTTGTGCATAGGGTCTCTATGAGTCAGTACTGACTCGATACAACAACAAACAAACAAACAAAAATATATAAGGGTGATTCAAAATTATCTGCACTCTGGCTGTAGAATTAATTTTAATCAACTTTTAGAAAAGACAGATATATCATGTTTTGACATAATCTTGCTTTTCACTACACTTTGTCCATCTGTCAACATGCTTTCATATTCCCTTACTAAAAAATGTTTTAGGTTGAGCTGCGAGCCATGAATGCACTGCTGTTTTCACTTCTTCATCAGAGGTGAATCTCCAAGGGCTGCTTTCAAGGGACCAAACAGGTGAAAGTCCTATGGAACAAAGATCAAGATTATAGGGAGGATGCTTTAACACCTCAAAATGAAGTTTTTGCAGTGTCAACAATGTGGGCAGAGATGTGTGAACATGCATTGTCATGCAAGATCACTGTGCCCTTGGATAGCAATCCTCTGCATTTAATTTGAAATTTAGGCTTCAATTCTTCAGTGAGCATCTCACTGTAATGAGCACTGATGATTGTTGACTTTTTCCTGACAGTGTTCTAAACTGGTCCTTAAAGATCCCAGAAAACTGTAAGCATCAGTTTTCCAGCTGATGGCTACTTTTGAACTTTTTCTTACTCAGTGACTGAGGATGTTTCCATTTCATACTCTGCCATTTACTTTCAGGCTTGTAAGTGATGAATCTATGTCTTGTTGTCACCAGTAACGATTTTAAGAAACTTTTACCTTTTTTTGAATATTAGTCGGTCCAAATTTTGTTTGCGATTGTCCAAAAGCTTCTGTTTATGATCTTCGATGAGTTGCTTCAGTACCCATCTTGCACAAATTTTTCAAAACCCAAGTCTGTCGTGGATTATTTCATAGGCAGAGCCATGCTGATTAGCAAATGATTTGTCACATAATCTACTGTTACTTGTCTATCTGACAGAATCATTTTGCATGCATGCTCAATGGTGTCATCAGCCATGGATGTGGACAGCTGTTTTAATATAACTGGAGTATAGATAATTTTTGACTCACCCTTGTGTATGTTGTTGTTGTTAGGTGTCGTTGAGTCAGTTCTGACTCACAGCAATCGTGCTTAGGGTTTCCAAGGAGCGGCTGATGAACTTACACCATCAACCTTGCAATTCAAACCGACCTTGCAGTCTAGCTTATTAACCCATAGTGCCATACCAAGATCACACACACATACATATGTATTTTATATGTTGTTATTGTTGTTGTTAAGTGCCGTCAAGTTGGTTCTGACTCACAAAGACACTATATAGGGTTTCCAAGGAATAGCTGGTGAGTTTGAAGGTTCAGCACTAATCCTACAGTACCACAATTATACACATATATACTATAAGCATAATTACATATATATATATATATATATCTCGAATCTGAATGTGGCACTTTAGGATCTGCACTGGATTGTGAACCACAAGGTCAGCAGTTCAAACCCACCAGATGCTCCTTGGAAACCCTATACAGGGCCTCTATGAGTTGCTATGAGTTGGAAGCAACTCAACGGTACTTAATAACAACACCAACAATATATGTTGTTGTTATATATATATCATGGAGTTCTGGTGTGGTGCTATAGAGTAAGATCAGCAGTTCAAACCCACCAGCTTCTCCTTGTAAACCCTACACAGGGTTGCAATGAGTAAGGAATTTGGAATTACTTTAGAGATAATGGAAGACAACCAAGACATAAATGAGTGAGTATTATAAAGAAATTTATGATTTAAAAGATGGCATTATAAATTGTAATCACTGCAATGAAATAATGGTGTAAAACCAATGTTCTCCCACGTAAACTATCACTGAATTCACTATAAAAACTTAAAAAAAAGATGGCATTAAAAATTAGAGCACTTCAGAAAATTAGAAAATATGGATAAACAAAGTGTTGTTGTTAAGTGTCATTGAGTCAGTTCTGATTCATGGTGATGCTCTATAGGGTTTCCAAGGATCAGCAGGTGGGTTTGAACTGCCGACCTTATGATTAGCAGTCCAGTGCTTATCCAATAGAACCATACCAGGACTCCAAAAAATAGCAAATACAAAAAATCTATAATACTATTACTTAGATATAGCACAATTTCCAGTTCTGTGTATTATCATCCAGACTTTTCTACTAAATTTTTAATAGAAATGGGATATTATAATTATTGTTTTGTACTTGACTTTTTCTACTTTATAACACATATTGTAAATATCTTTCCATGTCATTAAATGTAATTCTATAATGGAGTCCTGGTGTGGCACTGTAGGATAAACACTGGACTGCAAGATTGGTTTGAACTGCAAGGTCGGCTGTTCAAACTCATCAGCTGCTCCTCAGATACCATATACTGGGTTTCTGAGATGGAACTGACTCAATGGCACTTAACATCAATGTTAAAAGAGATGACAGTTCACTGAATATGCGTACCACTTATTGCATTAACCCCTTATTATTAAACATTTAGATTATTTCTAATTTTCCCATAATAAACTATGCTCTAATGAACTCCTTACCTTATGCTTATCCTTAGTTAATTACAGTATTAAGATAAATTTCTAGACGTAGAATTCCTGGCTTAGAGTACGTAAATATATTAAAGGCTTTGATAACTGTTGCTTAAATAGCTTTTGGAAAGTCTGTAAGAATTTACAGTTTTGGGGCCGCCAACAAACATACAAAGAAATGTTCATGACTATTAGTCATTGTTGTTGTTGTTAGGTGCCATCGAGTTGGTACTGATTCACAGAAACCTTATGCACAACAGAAAGAAACACTGCTCGATCCTGGGCCAACCTCACTACTATTGCCACACTTGAGTCCATCAATGCTGCCACTTGGCCAATCCATCTCATTGGGGGTCTTCCTCTTTTTCTCTGACCCTCCACCTTATCAAATATGATATCCTTTTCCAGCGACTGGTCCCTTCTGACAATATGAGAGATGCAAGTCAAAATAACAGTGAGATATCATCTCACACCAGCAATAACAGCGAAGCTCAAAAATGCAGAGGGCAATAAATGCTGGTGAGGATGTGGAGACACTGGGACCCTCCTACATTGCTGGTGGGATTGCAAAATGGTCCAACCACTCTAGAAAACAGTATGGTGCTTCCTCAGAAAGTTGGAAATAGAAATACCATATGATCCAGCAATTCCTCTACTTGGTATATATCCACAAGA